GACAGCGAGTGGACGGACCCCCGAATGTCACGGCTTCGGGAGTTATGCAGTTTGAGTATACTATACGTGAATGACGTCTACTCTTTCGAAAAGGAATTGCACGAAAAGAACGGCCGAATTGAGCGCATGTTTGTTAATTTGGTCGCACATTACGCGCTCCGGGAGGCACTCACTATAGGCCAGGCTATAGTTAAAACACTGCAAGTGGTTCGGGAAATGGAGAACGAGTTCGAGTCCCTCAGCCGACAGGTGCTCGAGTCGGACCATTTCAGCCCCGACGCCAAACACTATGTCCGCAGTCTGGCCGCTATGATAGGCGGGAATCATCACATGTCCGCTACAATTACGCGCTATAATAACATATACTGATCATATTATATTAAAATCTTTTATTGTAATGTTTTGCCGCATTTTTATTCACCAATGATTTTAAAGTAGCAAATGAGAATTAATTTTTGAATAATAGAGTAAATTAAAATTAAAATTTTGTAACAGTAATTAATTTATAGAAATAAATGTATTACTTTTATAGATTTATAAGAATTTTATTAATATAAAGTATATTGTAATTATTGTAATTAAATTTATATAACGTTTAGAATTATACATTAACGCAAAGATAATAATGATGTAATTATATTATTAACAAATTATCATTAACAACATTATGGTAAATCTTAAAATGGTATAATTTAATTAAAAATCAAATTTAATTAACCTAATTAGATTAAATTAAATCTATTTTTTAAATATCAATTAATTTAACAATCATTTTATATTGGTTATTTAAAAATCATAATTTTGAATTTTAGTTTTGATTATACTGAAATAATCATTGTAACATTATTATTAATAATTTATTAATTTAGCAAAATTCCCATGTTTAGCAGTATATTTTAAAAAACCAATTTAATTATTTATATTTTAAAAAATATAAAATTAATTTATAAAAATAACCATAGTAAAAATCATTTTGTTAATAACATTAATAAATATCATTTAGTTGTTTTGGTATAGTATTAGTTAGGTTTCGTTTTTGGTTTTGTTTGGGTTTTGTTTTGGTTTGATTTGGATTTGGTTTTGGCATTGGTTTTGGGTTTGGTTTTGGATTTGGATTTGGATTTGGACTTGGTTCTGGTTTTGGTTCTGGTTTTGGTTCTGGTTTTGGTTTTGGTTTTGGTTTTGGTTTTGGTTTTGGTTTTGATTTTAGTTTTAGTTTTGATTTTGGTATTAGTTTTTGTATTGGTTTTGGTTTTCAAAACTACTTTTGGTTTGGTTTTGCAAGTCTTAAGATACTCATCGAGAGGTTGTCCTCCGCTCTCACGTCTCCCCTCTTCTATACACTTGATATTAGTATTAATAAACAAATTCCAATCACTTCTGGATATATGGTTGAGATGTGGTAAACATGTGCCACTTTTAACCATCGGCGGTATTCTGTGATAACTAGTGTTTCTGCCGCCGACATAGACCGGCACCTCATCCATACTTAGCAACTCTTCGTCCGCTATTTTCTTGTTTACCATTCGATTACGAATAGTGGGGTTAAAGAATTGGAGACCAAAATTGATTACGGTCTGAAATATTGGATGTTGCTCGTATAGAATGACCGATTTATCTCTAAACAAATCCGGTTTATTAGCCATAACAGCCAAATCGTACCATGAAGCTATTAATAAAGAGGCAAGTCAATTGGATTATAATATATGTATTTAATCATGCTCACATAATACAAAATTTTTCAGTGTCATATTCTGGTAGCTGTAATACATCATGCCATTTTTATTTTGGCGTATAAATTCGGCGCATATGTGCACAATAAATTGCCTGTACAATGTGTCTAGAGCATTGTTATTAGTCAAACGCATACAACGACCTACTTTGCCGTAAACTGGTTGACCCGATTTCGAAAACCCAAAGTTATTTGAATATCCGGTGGCAAAAAACTCCGAGGGGTAGTACTCGGGTACAAATGGCTTAGTGGTCACATCGTATAGTGAAGTGGACTCCAGTAATACTGACGTTGGGTTGAAAGCCGAAATAACTTGAAGTGGTAGAAATTGACTTAAATTTTGATTTAATATGGTGGTAGTATTAGTCAATAGTTTCACTGGACTTAATTTTGGATTTAATATAGTAGTATTAGCCAGTTGTTTCACTGGACTAAATAGTACATCTGGCTTTAAAAACCCATACGACAGCACAATCATTTGCATCAATACTATTAATAATAATAATTTTACCATTTTAGTTTAAAACTACAGATTATGCAATACACGTGAGATTCAAAAACAGGTTGTGATGTTTAATTAAGAATAAAATGGGTTTTACAATTACGATAACATTGAACTTTTAATTACAAAATTGAATTAAATTACTGCCAGTATTAGAGGAATTCAAAGTTAGTATAGCTATGCAATCGGACTGTTAATGGATGTTAGAATGAATGTTAATTATCTGATATTTAAGGGCAAATAAAATAGAGATCAAATTTTTTGAAATGGTTATAGAGGGGTCTATGACACTTGTTTGAAAGACACTTGTTCGAAAAAATAAAATTATATTAAATAATTATTAATTAAACCTAACCTAACTTAACCTAACCCAAACTTACCTAAACTAACTTACTGTATATTAACATAATAAATAATATTTATATCAATTTGTACTAATTTAATGTGTTTCAACCAAATTAAAATTAATTTTTTCGAGCAAGTGTCCGGATCCCGTTATAGAGACATGATGGGAGTTGTAAGTTTATAAGTTGAACCTCCTGTATTTAGAATCTAAATTTTAGATATTGAAGTTATTGCCAAGAGTTAATTTTATACGTTTAGATTCGTATAAATTAGCTAATCATAATTGCAATTACGCTTAATAAGATCCAATTTTTATTAGATTTATAAAATAATAGTAATGCAACTAGTACTATAAGTGATTTTGACTTTTTAAAAATATAACTTTTTATAATTTTTATTAGTATACATTTATTATCAATACTAATCAACAAAAAATTGTTCATTTGACGTTATACAATTGTTAAATAATTAAACTAGTTTACATATTCTTAAAAAATTATTTAAATGCTCCATATATTCATCAGGATACTTAAAATAGTGGCCCACGTGTGCCGACTCTGTCCACCATTTGTCGTATACATTATCACGTGATCCCTGAGCGCGAAGGCGTCGGAGTATGTCTCGAGTGTTGGCCGGATTGGAAACGATGTCATTCTCGGACATGAAGTACTGAATCGGACAATGAAATGGACGCGATTTGTACACCACTGACGACGCGAACCAGTGTTTGGCCACAAAATTGTACGTCAAAAATATATATGCATTCATCACTTGTTTTATTTGGTATTGAAGTAATGGCTTATTTGTTAGCGTATAAGCCATACCTGTGGCCGCATCCACGGCGTCCACACCCGAGTCTATTATGAATCCATGTAATAAATGACTCGTACGCCGACATATGGCCGCGTTTTCCGGCAGTAATAACCGTATGAATAGTTCGCTTAATAGATAAGAACCGATAGAAAACACGTGAAACACATACCCGTCGTACCGGTCCTGGAGATGGTCGAGACTGTCGACTAGAGTCTGGGCCACGAGTTGACAGCCAATTGACGGCATGAGAGTGTCGCCAGCTTTCAATCTGACTGTCAGTACATCAAAGCCTTTGTCGAGATATATCTTCCGGTATTTGTCTAAATGTTTTTGTTTGGAGAAAAGCCAACCAAACAGTACCAGAAGTGACCGCCGATTGCTTTCATTGTTGGGTTTATTATCACAGAAAGTGAACGATAGGTTTTCATTCAATATAATAGCCTTTTGATCGGTTCTCTCGTCAATTAGTTTTAGTCTTTTGCGTAGATTTTGTCGCTTTTGGTCCCATTTGGCCGTTGATATGACCCTCACTATTATACTTAACACAAATAGTACAATAGGTATTGAAATTAAATAATATATTGATACTAAAAACATGGTGTGATTTATCGTTGAAAACATTATGTACTTTCAGTGTATTTATTTATATAACTAATATTTCTAATAACAGGAAAGTACACAATAACTTAGTTTTATGGATTTTTGTGTGCGTTTAATTTAATTGAGATAGATTGATACACATGTTCTAAACAAAATCCAAAATCTAAACAATTATTTGGTTGATGGAATTTATAAACATGTTAAATATAAATAGCAATGCAGCACCTGTTAATTACTATTTATAAATGTAAATAATTTATTAAATATTAACTTGTATACAAGGCTTTTTTAAATAGTTTATTTATATTTACATCATGTACACTTTTTTGTGATTTAGGATTTAAGATATTTTCCATTATTCCTTTTGTGTGACTTATTTGAAAGTTTAATATAATCATTATATAAATATACAGACCATATGAATATTGATAATGTATGGTATAGTTTAACTATTAACATTATAATTTGTTCATTGTGCTTGCTCATTTTATAACATTCACGAAAGTAATGATCAGCCACCAAATATAGAATACACCGGTATATTTCCAAATATGGTCCAATTTTTCTGTTGACCATGGCAAAAAATAATAACAATTTAAAGTTATAGTTATAAAAGTTTAGGATAACTATAAATTACTATCAATAAAATGTTATACACTCTTACCTGCCATCCATTAGAGTGCCAATTGATGTTACGAATAGATAAACAAATAATAAATAGATAGCATATAAAGTATATGACGAGGCCTACAATTTGACAATGATGGTAAAGCAAAAATATAAATAAAAGTGATTTAAAATTCTATGTAACTTACAGTTTGATCAATCAATATTGTTTGCCAAACAACAATTGCCGTATGGCATAAAATATACAAATATGACCATGCGCCAATATATGGATTATAATCAATGTATATTAGTGGTCTATCGCTCATTAGTTCATAATTTTGACCATTATCCAATTCTGGTGGCAACCAACTGGGCTTTTTGAAAATGACTGACAATTTGTGAGCAACTGGTCTCAGCTGGGTGCATTTCTCATAAATCTTTCTGTAATAATACAGTGTAAGGGCGCTGTAATCGTATGTGCTGGGTCCTTTTTCTACCAGACCGTACACCACTGTCTCATCGGTCTCGAGCTGATGGGTGCCAAACAGGCGGTCCCATACGCACAGTACGGCCCCGTAATTCTTGTCAATACAATAGGGATTACTACCATGGTGAACGCGGTGAAGGCTCGGGGTCATCAGCACGTGCTCTAACGGACCGTATTTGCCCACAATTGTTGTGTGCAAAGTGTATTGATATACGATGGAGAACTGGGACAGGATTAATAGCATCGGTGGTGGGAATAGTGTTGCCAGAATTATTACACCCACCTGTAATGAAATGTGCAATTAAGGTAATTTTGTAATAGAGGATTAATAAATGCTTACATCAAATAATATATAGTTGGCTTCGAGGCCGACGAGTCTGGAGCCCACCGATAGGTTAAGATCTTCGCCGCTGTGATGGTACTGATGGTTAGCCCAGAATACGTTCACCTCGTGTCCGGCCCTATGGCACCAGTAGTACACAAACTCTACGCTCAATAGGGCCACAATCCATGTCCACAATGAGTGTTGTGACAGATTTATTACATTGTAGTTTTGGTGACACCACATGCTTAGTGAGTACAATAGGTTTACGGTAAATGCCCTGTTAAGTAATTCACATTTTGTAAAATAAAATTATATTGGTTATGTTTTATTAGTAATCTAATTATGGTAATTAATTTTTTAATCAATGAATACCTTGATAACACAGCCAATACACCTGATATGACATTAATGATAATTTCGGACATTCGTATTGTAGTTGATTTATTATAGACTCGGATTACGGACTCCAATGCAATTAAAAGCATGAATAGAGGATAAATCTACAGTAAATATATGTAAAAATATAGTTAATTATAATTAATTATACGTTTATCGTTTTTAAAAATAGATGCACATTACCTTTGTTTCATAATGAGGATGGTGATAACCATTATTGTCATCAGTAGGATCATGATCGTAAAATAGTGGCAGCATGAATAGCCATAATAACTGTTGCCAAAGTTGATTTACAGCGTAAACAATGGCATTGTCTTCATATAACGTTATATTCATCATAATTTTTTAACGAGTTTTAAGATCAATTCAATATTCATCCAAAGTTTTATACATTTTATACAAATTGTAGTTAATGTTATATAACACACATTTGGGGCAAGATTATTCTAAATATTTACTTTAAATAGATATTTATTTGTTGTAAATATTTTGATAATTTGTTAAAATAGCCCATATTATTTATCAGACACACCGATGCCCTCAAATGTTTATGATTACTGAGATATAAATACAGACAAAATCTTATAATAATTTCATTTATAAGAATTAGGGATTTCACCAAAAAATATAATAATTTTATTGATTTTTAAAATAAATTCCCATTACATTAATATTGCGATTGCGATAGTTTCCGATTGATTTCACATTTTATTTTAATAATAATAATTATTGTTAATTTTCACAGAATTTCATGAATGAAAATTTTGTATGACATAATTTTAACAAGTATAATAACATTTACAAAAAGTTGAATATTTGATTAAAACATTGTAATCAACATGTTTTTAAGTTTTTGTGATAAAACAAGTTTTAATATTGTAACGTCAGGATTAGATTTAATCATAATTTAGTATTCGTCGGACAATTTAACATCTAAATTGTCGTTGGGTATAATCTCGCTCACTAGTATACTTGCCCATTCTAATTGTAGACTTTGAGTTTAGGCGACTATCGCCGTGTCATATTACGATATACACTTCACTATTACTATAAGAGTAATATAGGGTCAGTTTCAGGCATACCCTGACTACCCCGTGGGTGTTGACACAGACACCCTGCTTATCATCAGTTAATCCTTGGGTTCGTTATAGCCTTCCCTTTATTACAGAACCCATTATAATACACGTTTTAATAATAATACTACTACTGCATAATAGTAGCCAATAGCATTCCATGGGAGTACACATTCACTTATACGCACTTTGCGACTAACCAATAGTTTTATACTCTTAAGGTCACGTATAGACCATATACCCAACGAGAACAACCATTGTTCTCGATCTGAATTCACTCAGGACTTAGCTCTCAACCAGTGCGGACGTGCTCTACTCTGGTCGGACCTATTGTCCGCCATTTTAATGTACTTTTTATACTCTATTTTATAAGCAGCAAATAAAAGACTTCACAGTCCCAACACAAGTGTAAGTTTATTTCGTTTGGGCCTCTAGTGCCCGCTCTTTCTCTCCCATTCCTATTCCCTTCCCTCTCTTCTCTACCGCACCCGACAAACCAAACTCCTGCCAATTGCGGCTCATTAAGATGGACTCCGGTCCGTCGCCTCACCTGTATTCTGTGCCACACGAGCACCCCTCCCGCCTCTCATGGCTCCGCGTCGTTAGACGCCCGGGTCGGTCACTTATGTGGTTACGCAATATAAAGCTTTTGTGGCATTCATTTAAATCACAAATAAATCTCACATTTAAATGAACGATATTTTTGTGTTTATGTAAATCTGATTTAGTTTTATAACTTTTATTACAATTATTAAAATCACATTTAAATTGTTTTATTGATGAATGAATTAATTGATGTCTTGTTAATTCACTCATCCATTTTGATTTATATTGACATTTAGACCAAAAACAGTGAATATAA